GCGTAGTTCATCGGCAGTTGTAGGGACTGGGCGCACATTGTGCAGACGCCTTTGAATCTCATCCCACAAGTGTTCGATGGGGTTCAGATCAGAGCTGAGGGCTGGCCACGTGCACGGTAGAACACGGATGTTGTGTTGTTGCAGAAAGGCCATGGTAGCTCTGGCAACATGGGGATGAGCGTTGTCCTGCTGGAAAATGTGTTGTTGATGTTGTGCAAAAAATGGAACAACGTGGGGACTGATCACTTGGTCGATGTACCGCTGAGCAGTGACGCCGTGTCCCCGACCTTGACCAACATTCAGAGAGCACATGGGTCCAAGTCTCGCATTAAGTCCAATCCCTGCCCATATCATGACGCTAGGTCCACCCCATGGATCCTTTTCCACAACGTTTCTGTCAGCGAAACGATCACCTCGACGCCGCCAAATTCTGACTCTTCCGTCTGCATGGGAGACACAAAAGCGACTTTCATCAGAGAAGATGACACGCCTCCTCTCACGATGACGCCAATTGTGATGACCCTGTGCCCACTGAAGTCGTGCTTGTCGATGCCGTTGTTGGAGAACAGGACGACGTGCTGGTCGGCGACATCTGAAGTTGTTGGAACGGAGACGTCGGATCAAAGTGTCCCGGCTAATGTGTCGATTATGTGTTCCTATGGTCTGTCGAGCACTTTCACTTGTAGTTAGGAAAGGATGTCGCTGGTGTTGACGGGTAATCTGCCGATCTTGTCGAGGTATGGTGACCCTAGGACGACCGCTCCGAGGAAGGTCATCTGTGGTCTGTGTAGCATTGTATCGATGCAGGAGACGGTAAGTTGTGGTTAACGTTGAAATGACGTCTCTCCAGCTTCCAAACATCCGATAGCCTGGCGTGGCATTGTTGACCAAGGAGTGGTAGGTCCAAGAATCGGCCACAGTTTTATACCCACTACAGTTCGTGCATTTTCGATTTCGCGAGAAATGGGTTCATGATACCCACATATTCATTGAAATGGTGCGTTTTGGCGATTCGTTTTATATGTTGCGTTTTTACTCGGGGCTTCCAAAATGCAACCAAAAATATTGATAATACCATCAGGCTTCTCTACATGCTAAAACTCGTATCAATTAATGGTTCCGTGTTTGTTACCTATTTGCTTAAAACCACTTGCATTTATTTTGCGTGTGAGTATATATGAACACGATTTTTAATAGGTGTGATTATTTAATTAAAACGTGTGTATATCATTCTTAAAACATACCCATCCATCTTTTCGTAATTATAACTGCATCGCCAAAATAAACCGATCCAGTCTGTCAGTTACAATTGGCGCATACGTCAGTTTGAGCCAATCAGAAGGCCGGGCGCGCTTTGTGGATTTGTCAAACCATACCCGAGAAGCGACGTGGCTACGGTTTGTGCTATTTTCACTCGCGATATTCATTAATTATCGCTGGGATTAGATGTATACCTTTGCCCAAACCCACATTGTCGGGTGAAAAATCTTTGAGGCTGATCAAGATGTGCGGTAAGCCTCACCATCAGATAAATGTCGCCATCATCTTTCACGGGACCCACGTCTGCTCGAAGGTGAGAATTTGCACTAATTGTCGCTCTTTTGCAGATATACATACTAAATACGGGTAAATGATAAAACGTAGCAAGTTATGATTTTACGCATGTTATAGACAAGCATAATGCTTGTAACTACAAAATCGTTTTTGAATTATGTATTTTGGCAACATCGGGCATTGAGTTAGCAGGTCCTATTCCTAGAAAAGAAACTGGTCTGAATCCCTGTTTGTGTGTATTTTCATTATTTTAGGAAAGGTCATGTTCACACCAGTATTTGTGAAGCATACTTGGGATGTATTTTTAAATATCTAATCAACTCCAGGTGTCCAGCAACCTGATATTTGCACTTAAATGTGTGTTGTTTCATGCATAAGTAATACCTGTCACTTTACACTTATGTCCTATAGGCATGTGGTTTCTGGAGCAACAAAGGAATTATTTCTTAAGTAACAGTCATGATGTCAACAGGTAATTTTGTTGATTAAAACTTTGAACTTATGACAAGTCTTTGGATGGCATTTAGAAGTGTTACACATAATATTGCATAAGGAAGAGAATTTAAGGATGGTGGTGTTCCTCATAATTAAGAAGTTGACATCCATAAATTCTCTTCCTCATGAGATATTTGTTGTACTCAATTTACACGTTTTGTTGTTAACAGTAATAATTCTTGGATTCATGACAAGTCTTTTGAATAAAAGATCATATATGAATTTTTATTGGTGTTGTAAATTTAATCAATGCAAGTTAATTGATGGGAAGTACTGCAGACCCTGTCTTCAGATACTCTTACCGTCGCGGGGCGGTCGGGTAGCCTGGTGGTTAAAGCGTTCGCTCGTCACGCTGAAAACCCGGGTTCGATTCCCGACATGGGTACAATGTGTGAAGCCCATTTCTGGTGTCCCCCGCCGTGATATTGCTGGAATATTGCTAAAAGCGGCGTAAAATCAAACTCACTCACTCACTCTTACCGTCGCAGGTTTCCCTTTTCTGGAACATGGATCCCATTGATTTGATATAACCATGGTAGTTACAGGTGCTCATTTTATCTTGGATCTTCTCAATGTTTTCAACTGTTCTCACATCCATGTACCTAAATACTGGCAGTTTATTTAATCCAATATTCTGGAAGTGTGATCAGGGATGTTTATCTAAATTTAGAATTCCAAACTAAGTGCACTTGGCAAACAGATTGGAGAAAAAGAAAATAACATTATTTCCTTACATTCTGCATTATTTTAAGAATGGCATAGATATGTTTAAACCCCATGTTCCAGATGCCCAAAATTAAATATATGTTATTATGATTCATTAATTATATAATATAAACCAATGTAGCAGTGAGGGGAAATCAACTATTCTTTTATGTTTACTCATTAAAAAAACCCAATAACTCTAAGCCTTTTAGGTAATATTGGTTTTACGTAGAGCACAAGACAAAAAACGTGGGCAGTGTAACTGTTGACAATCTATTTATATATATCCACATGATTTGTAACTTTGTTGTGCTTGTGTTTGCGGTTTCCAGTAAGTTCCACACTCTTAAATTACGATGGAAAGTTAAAACAAAATTTAGTTACTCCGCCCTTGGATGAATAATATACTAAGTCAAATTAAAAACTTCACATTTTTAAATATAATCCCATATATGATACACAACGGACAAATGTATCAGAGAAATAATTTTTAATCATTAATGTCCAAAGAAGGATTTTAATTAACGGTGGTAACCATAATTTGTTCCAAGCACCTACTGTATTCGGTAATAACATCAACAGTTTAAATCATAAGTCCCAAGCACGAGAATCTGATGGCACACAAGTTCAGTAGCGTGTTGGCCATCATGTGCGTTGACAACTGCCACACAACGCCTCCGCATGGACCTTGTGATGCTTGTTAACATATGATTGGGAAGACGACGCCATTGTTGCTGCAAAATGGTGCCAAGATCTTGCAAATTCTGTGGTTGGTTCTGGAGAGTGCGCAGACTTCTGCCAAGAGCATCCCAGACGTGTTCGATGGGATTGAGGTCGGGAGACCTTGACGGCCAGTCCATGACGTTGACTCCCGCATTCAGAAGGAAATTCCTTGTCAAAATTGCTGTGTGGGGTCTGGCATAGTCGTGTTGGAAGATCAAACCGGGTCCATGTGCTGCCATAAAAGGCAGAAGTTCTGATGCCAGTGCCTGGTCGCGGTAAGCAGCAGCGTTGAGGTTGCCACGGATGACAAGAAGCCTGGAACGTGCATTGCAACAGAAAGCACCCCACACCATGACACTTCCGCCTCGAAATCTGTCAACTTGGCGTAACGTTCATGACGGCGCCTCCACACCCTCGCCCTACCATCAGCAAATCGAAGATTAAATCGGGATTCATCACTGAAGACGACTTGATTCCAATTCCTCTGAGTCCATCGTAAGTGTCGTTGTGCCCACAATTGACGTTGACGTCTGTGTAATTGAGTCAGAATCGGCCCGCAGTATGGCCGTCGTGCTTGAAGGTGAGCAGTTCTGAGACGGTTTCGAACAGTTTGCGCACTCAGTCTACCCCTAAACAGTTCATTTCTGGTTGATGTAGCCGTCAAAAATCGGTTACGGAGGTGACGTAAGACAATCTGACGATCCTCATAAACAGTCCGTCGACTACAACCCATCGTCCTTGGGACTTCAGCAACGGACGTTCCCGTCTGGAACATGCGAATGGCACGTTCACGTTGCACATTTGAAATTCGTGGCATGACAAATGGCCGTTATGGACTAGTTTGTTTTTCGGAAGTGTGAAGAGTATACCCGCATTCTAATGTAACCGATAGCGTAAGTAAATCGCCTAAAATGTGCGTCACAGTGAAGATAGCATCCCTTAAACTTTAAAATACGAATTCATGACATTAATTTCATATTGTGTTGGATTACTAGGGTACGAATATTTTGAACTTTAGAGAGCTTTACCGCTAGGGATTTTAACTTGCACGGCCCAAAGCTTTTCTTCTCAAGTAAACCAGCACATTACAAAATTTAATTACAAAAGTATACACCTGTGAGTCTTCATCTCATACGCATGCTGTGGTTTAGCTTAAATTCAAAATGATTCATCATAATTCTTACGATTTTGTTTTCCGACAGGAAACCAGATGATGGTCACTTGCGTTGCTAATATCCTGGCCGGAATATTTTTGGGGTCAGTTATCAGTTTGACGTATTCTTCAACGTCGCGAATTCTGAATACATATTTCATTTATTGTTTGTTTGTTGCTAAACGTTGGACTCGCCAACAGTCCATTTATAGACGGCAGCCTGTAAATAATCATGTCAGGACAAGACCAGCCTGAATAAGCATTTAGGTAAGACATACAATTTCCGGGTGTGACTACACATTATACTAGTATATACACACAAGAACAATAACCTCAAGTACATTGTTTTCGAGATCAGAACAACACTCGCTGTTGTTAAACATTTATTTGGTCTCATGACCTGGGAATATCTAAACAATGCAACCTTGATCTAATTTGTTTATTGATGTCAAATAGGGGAATTCGTCAGAAATGTGATCATTATCATTACTTCAAATCAGAAGGGACCAGCTTGGCTGTGACAAGAGCAACTGAAGAAACATATCCTGCTGTCATGTCGTTAGAGAAGTGAACCTGCACCAGGTTAGGCCCCGTGACAAAGAGGGGGGTTGGAACAGCAAACTCCCAAACCTCCCAGTAGGTGGTGCTGTTAAACTTGTCGGAATCATACAGCTTATAGAAAGAGTCAAGGGGGTGGAGGTTGAAGGTAAGATAGGATACATTGTTTGTTTCATTGATCGGCCAACTGGTTGAAACTCTCAGTCTTGCACTGTGATATTGACCATTTGGTAGAGATATTACTGTCAATACCGTATTTCCCTTGATTGGTATAAGTGTATCAGCTCCGTAGTATGTAGTTTCCTTGAGTGTGACTGAAGGCAGTGTGTTTGAAGGGGTCTTGAATGTGAAATGACATGTTGCCTCGGGGGAAAGTTCAACCATTCCTTGTGTCTTTTGGATGTCGATGGGTTCGTTGAAGGTTATGACTGGGTACCAGTCGTCCTTGATGGTGATACAAGTAGCTTCTCCAGTGGTTGGTTTGATCCAGTCGCCTTCAAAGTCTAACTTGACCGCCTGTGACTTCTGAGAATAGCTATGCAAGAGAATGACGGTTTCGTTATTCAGTGTACTGGACATTGCTAACGGCGACACCGTTCGTTCCTCTCCATCATACTGACTGGTAGTTCTGATAAAGGAGTAGCCTGACGTGAATTTGTACCAAAACTTGAAGACGTCGACAATACGCGTGGCGTTTCCTTGAAGAGTGAAAAGTGACCAGTTGAGGCTATCATGTCCTGGATATTTTTCATTGGCTATTAGAAACACCACTGCTCTGTCAATGTATTCTCTGAGACCGAGTTGGGTGAATCGGTGGGCATTGGAGTGGTATATTGTTGAAAAGTCTACAATACCCGATGGAGCAAATTTGTCAATTCCTATCACGATGTCACGTCCATATTCACTGATAACAAGGGGGATAATCTTTCCAGTCTTCTGAAAGACATAGCTCTCAACCAGGTCGACAAATGCTACCAGACGTGCTTCATTCATGCCAGTAAGATTGTGTGATTTCCCCGAAACAATGAGTGAGTTGTACGAATGAAACGAAAATACATCTATATAGCCTAAAGTTACGTCAAGGAAATTGGCCACTTTTTGCCAATACAAAAAGTTGTTTACATCCGCCGCCCCAGTTTCTCCGTCAAGTGTAGGACCGGACACTTTGATGTTAAATCTCGCATGGAGCTTCTCAGCAACTAATTTGTGAAATTTGGCAACAGTCGTGAAATTTAATATACGCCATTTACCATCCGGTTCATTGATGGACTCAAAGTAGTGTGGTATCTGTCCTTTTGTGTAGTCATAAACTCCTTGCACCATCAACATCATGAACTCTGCAGCAGCATCGACATTGTTTGGGAATTGACCTTCATGTTCAGATTTGTTTATCCAACTCGGGTAGTAAATACCTGTAAATAGCAAAAGAGTAAAATAATGTTGATGGTAAAATGATTGGAAAGGAAAATGTGAGAAAACATCTGAAATATACAAATGAAGGAAAAATAATTGAAGTTGATTTGTTGTGCGACATGCTAGCGAGATGATATATTGCAAGGATCTAAGGACACATGTATTTTTGAAGTACTTCGAGAAAAAAATGCTTTGGAGAGAAACAAACTTGTCAGTGATACGAAAATGGCTTCGACATATAAGGATATATTGATTTATGTTATACCTAAACAAATAGTTTTAATTTCGATATATATGAATACCTTTATTGGTCGTTTTAATGCAAATTATCAGAGTTTATTGTTGTGATATGTTATAATATTTATTTTATATGTGTCTTTAACTATAACACAGCCAAATGTTTTATGATCAAGGAATCACATTTCAACCTAAACATTTATGAGTACTTCTACATACACATGTTACTATATTGCAGTAGGGTTGATTTTAGAATCAACCAAGAGTCAGATTTTCGAATGCCTTTGGCGAAGAACACTAACTAGGTAGGGAGACTCAAGAAATCTGCTGAAGAATGTTGGATATTTTTATATGATGGATAATGTGATAAACCAAACCGATTTACTTGGTACATGCAACAAGATCACCTCGTCAGAATTACTTTTGATGAGCTCCATACATCATATCTACTTCCTCGATTAACTATTGGCCCAAATTCCCCAAAAATGTAGGTAAGGGTAGGGGACATTTTTTACCCGCATTCCTATCTGATTATTTTATGAATGAAGTGATAAAAAGAGATAATCAGCTTGCATGTTCCCGTTAACATATCATATAAGGAGTAGACGTATACATTTGCTGTTTAACGCAGCACTCAGCAATTCCCAGATATACGACGGCGGCATTTGACCAGAGAAACCACTGGTTGATATAATGGGCAAAGATCCACGCCGTTGCGGTACGGTGTCTTTACATGTATATTATCGAACAAACATCAAACAAACAATTAACGCTGGTTCACTGATGGGCACTACTTCAGAGTGGCAAGAGAGGATGAACCTACAGTGGACATATGTCGCACAAATGAGCCCCAATGTGCACTAATGGGCGTGATGTTTGCCCAAAGATGGCAGCCAGCGTGGCCCCAACGATGCTTGCTACTAGAGGTCCAGCGAATTAACAGAATACACGGACGTGATTTAAAGTACATTCGTTTGTTTTGGCCTTATCCTGAATTGTTCCATCATGGTCAAGGACATTTCATCTAACAGGTTTACCTTCCGACATCATGATCATGTCGTTCTCATAACCACTGTTGATGTTCTCAACGTACTTGGAGAACATTTCCTGCTGTTTGGTGACGTTCTTCAGATGGTTGGGGTCTGGGTAGCCACTGCGGTTTGGGTCCTCTGGCCACTTCAATCAATATGCTTAGAAGATTAGTTGTATTGTATTCAAGTTGCAAATTAGTAAACATTCGTCAATAAATATCAGCACGAAAATTTACTCTCAACCTAAATAGCTGACATGCTGTTTCTGAATGTGACTTAAGAACTAATATATTCGTTTTAATTGTCATTGGGAAACCCTCAATATACTGAAAGGTTGAAATTAATTACGAACAATTGAGAAGTTAATTTATTCTAATTTTAATGGTTTGTTTTGGTTTCTGTTGTAACATGTTGGGCAATGTTTGACCTGTTATTGGCTCCACACCATTATTGTCTGTTCAGTTGACAGATATACATGTAGCAACACGTGCCTGCAGTACTCAAAATATATTTCCCGTAACAGGATTTCTCGTTTTTGGTAAACGAATATATACCAATATATTATCACCATAATTTGCTTTCAACTTGATAGTGTCAAATATAGCTTTGAACAATAATAGTGAAAACTTTCATTTGCATGTAATATATTCATTATTATTCAAAAGTTTATCTTACGTCTTGGAAAAGGCGAGCATTATAATCTCTGTTATTCCATCGTCCACTATCCGTCCGAATGCTCCGGCAGTTGGGAATGAGGGATGTGCTATCCAGACTATTGTGCTTATTCCACCTGTTACTGTCATAGCGAGCACTACCTCCCTGTGCCAACCACTGAGGGTGGATCGTCACAGTTGTGTCACCGTATACACCGCCTACTGCCAGGCTCAAAGAGAAAAAGACCAGAGTCCATTTCATTTCCTGTAATAAATATCATCTTGAATATAACCATTACAATACGGTGACCTGGTTTCATTTCACTTATATATTTACTATTAACCATAAAAGAGGCTCTCAAGTCAATACGATGGATAAAGTTATACATGTCCATATCAATTACGTGTTGTTGTAAAAGGCTTTCCACTGAGCTGTGTTATATATATATTTATTTATTTATTCTTTAAGCAGCTGACGTATGGCACCGTCCCCCGGCAACTAAAAATATACATTAATAAATCCCCTGTACACTTACATACTTCCAATACATGGTGAGTAGCTACTACTTAAAATGGCTCCATTTGGAATAGCAACTTGCATTGTAACAACAGTATATCGTATTCTTTGATTAAACTTAAAGTTTCTTTTCAAACAAAGAATTATATTTATCAATTAAATATTGCATTCAATTTTTATCTCCACTGTGGGCATTCCGGGTTAGAATAGGCGTGGCAACCTATGCTGGTCATAACAGGCGACTTAATTGCTCAGGCTCGGGTACTTGGTTGATTGTGTGTTATCGTACCAATAAGGCGTGCATCGTTGCGCGCGATATCAGTCACTGAATTGTCTAGTCAAGATTCTATTGTTTACAGGCCGCCGTCATACAGAGTATACCAGTCCGAATACCGATTATAAAGTATGATCATTCAGACACCCCATTCAGATACAGTATACTGATTTTGAGCCGGCCAGTCCTTGTTTTAGCCGCTTAATGCTGAGCGCCAGGCACATTAAAAACAAGTGCCATATTTGGTATGAAACTGCCGGGGATCGAACCGAGGACCTTCCGCTCTCCGGGCACGGAGGCGGCCCGATATACCCATGAAAACGTTGTTGCATGCGTGATTTTAGATAACGTAGTGAAGTGAACACGCCTTCCAAAGTCTTATTTGGTCCAAGGTTTGACATAAAATATCGAGATTAGGATCCCTTAGTGCAACGCGAGACGGACTTATTATAGTCGGTCAGTGGTCTACCGAGACTGTAGACCACTGACCGACTATAATAAGTCCGAGTTGCTAACCTGCCACTGATTATCGCTTGGTTTACTACCTTGTTTAGAAAAAAAACAAGAGTCCGGTGAAGCCATACATACGTCATTCAGTCTAACATGGATGTTACAATACATGATAAATACTCACGAGACGGTTCAGGTTTAACTCGTGATCTCTACACCCTGCACTAAGAGCGAGAGTCTTTATAGTTACATTTCATGGAAATTATGGGTGGCCTTGACACTACTGTTCTAGATGTTTGTAGATGATAAGAAACGGCGCCGGTATGTAGGTGCGGTGATAGGGTAGACAACATGTTGTGCAAGTCACTTTGTCCCTCCAACTTTTGTAGAACGACGAGCTGTTATTACATTATCACTGAAACGCTAATTCCTTAGACGATACGCATTTTATCTGTCAGATCAGCACTGTTTAAAAAACCTACGCTGACGATTTTGTATTGTTCAAACATCTCTTAATATCATTCTGCTGGTTTGTTGTTTAACGCCGCGATCAGTATCATTGCCGCTATAAGACGGCCGACTGTAAATTATGGAATCGGGGCCAGATAATGCAGTGATTGACATCATGAGCATCGGTCCAAGCAATAGGGGTGAGATGCTTTGTGTTCCCGATGCTCCAAACGAAACAACAGAACTAAAGGAAACAATAGAGCTATAAAGCGCTGTAACTAACCTGAATTGTGAAACAATTATTTGATGACTTTTCAATTTTATTGTGGTGACACTAATCTGTAGTGCGTAAAAGAAGCAAATATGGTGCCATAGCTTCTTGGAAAAAGAAATCAATGATTGTAGCAGCATCGTTTATGGTATCGATATTTAGTGCAAAAACTTTCTGCGCCTTGTGATTCTTAATTTTAAAAAAACCCTAGGTTTTATTGAAGAATTTCTAACCCAACAACTTTTAACATAGCTGCAATTATTTGAAATATTAGATGTCTTCATTACCAGGAACATATGTGACAAATTTCATCTTCATTTGTCAAGCAGTAACAGCGGAGAAGTTAAAGAGCATGCTAAAACTGCAAGGGTCGTGGTTACTGGGGATAACAGGGTCATGTGCCATATAAATAGTCCGTCACAGAGAAGAGATCTCCACTTTTAAGGCCTATATCGGTCCCTTGCTCTTGATCATGATTCGACGTTTTGAGGAGGACTATTAAAAAATCTTAAAGTGTTCGTCATCTATTACATATACTGTTTACTGTAAAATATTTGATACAAAATAGGCCCGATTATATTGCATGGATCTGAAATGTCCGCCCTAGAACATTTGGTATTCATTGAAAGAGTCCACTTCATAAGGATATACAATGCTTTTCAGTGTAAGATGTAGTACAAAAATGCTATTGTATAAGATGAATGTGGAAGGTATAGCTATAGTAGTTTTAGGGATAGTAAAAAGTTCGCGTTAGTCAATGTGCCATCTACATGATAACCTAGAAAATTATGTAATACGATGCTTCTCTGTGAAAATAAATTGGGCAACAAAAAGTAAAAACATGTAATATGAATGTCGATATGGTTATATTTTGCTACAGCAACATTTATGCCATCTGGCACAGACCTTAGAAAGACGTACATAAAAAAATGACATGGTTCTTTGTTCAGTTGAAGAAAAGCTAATAACTGCATTAGAATAAATATAAATTAATTTTAGAATGGCTCCTTTTCGATTATGTTGCAGTTCTTATGAGTTATTTATTAAAACAACCAGATATGTAGGCATTTAAAAAGAACACTGACTTTTTTAAAAATATGTAAAAACGGTTGTAGTGAAGATGAATACCACAATCCACGTGTCAACATAATCTGTAAATTAGTGTGACGGTATAGAAACTAAAAGAAATTGTATCATGGTATGAAACGAAGAAGTGTAAATTTATAACACACCCCAGACTATTTACTTTTGGCCTTTGGTCTCATGAGTTTTATGTACAAAGAGTGATTATTTGACTAAGGGGCGACAAATACACTTGTCAAAAGGGCCTCAATGATGGCCCATGTCCGTGGACTGTTTGGGCCTGTTTGACCTTGTTTTGCTATTTTCCACTTCACCACAAGATTAGTATGGTGAAATTTACCCAACAACTTTCCCTTATGTTGCACTATAAATTTCTCTTTGAAGTTTTGTCTCAATGGTAACCATATGCAAAAATCTATTTGCCATTGTCCCCCAATATATGCATATAATTCTATGAAATAAGGCTAGTGTGCGACGGGGTCTAAGATCTGCTTTTCCAATTTTGCACCTACTTCGACGTATTTTGTCAACCAAGTCAGCGAGCCTGATCACCCGATCCCGTTAGTCGCCTCTTACGACAAGCACAGTCGCCTTTTACGGGAAGCATGGGTTGCTGAAGACCTATTCTAAACCGGAACGTCACGGGTAGATTTAGCTACTTCGATTCGCATAACTAGCTTAGGTTAGTATGACTGTGCCCACAAGCTGATTTCACATGCATATTGATGATTACCTATTCGATACTGAATCCAGAATTATGTACACAAAAATATTACACCTATGCGCCATTTCACATGCATCTTACCACATTTCTCCACATGCAAGCTGAGACATAGCTGATTTATAACTCTTCGTATTTTTCGAAATATACAGTGAACTATTTTCCATCATTTTCGGGAAAATTCCTTTTCGTGCAAAAACATCCAAGCAACACCAAAGTGCTGACCGGGGGTTAAAACAGACCAACATAGAATGCAAAGCACTCCTCAAACGGACAGAACCCTTTACAACCATCTCATTAAAAGTTTCCCAGTTTATTTTATTGACAGATGAAAATTGTTTTCAGACACATTTTATGTACTTTATGGACCTTTCACCTGAAGTAATAATAAGTGACATGCTGGTTAATTTAGATTCATGCTCTGGACAACACACGCTGTTGTTAAAAATGTATTTCGTCTGATGACCTGGGAATATAAAAACAATGACATAAGACATTTTGATGGAATTTGTTTAATAATGTCAAAGTTGAGGAATATATCATTATCATGACTTTAAGTCAGTTTGGACAAACTTGGCTGTGACAAGAGCAACTGAAGAAACATGTCCCGCTGTCATGTTGTTAGAGAAGTGAATCTGTACTTGGTTAGGCCCGGTGGCAAACAGGGAGGTTGGGACAGCAAACTCCCAGACCTCCCAAAAGGTGGTACTTCCAATCATGTTGGCATCATACAGCTTATAGAAAGATTCAAGGAGGTGGAGGTTCAAGGTAAGATATGATACACTGTTTCTTCATTAATCGGCCAACTGGCAGAAACTCTCAGTCTGGCACTGTGATATTGACCATTTGGAAGAGCTATTACTGTTAAGGCGATATTGCCCTTGATTGATATAAGTGTATCAGCTCCGTAGTATGTGGTTTCATTGAGTGTGACATTAGGTAGTTGGTCTGAGGGGGTCTTGAATGTGAAGTGACATGTTGCTTCAGGAGGAAGTTCAACAATTCCCTGGGTTTTCTGGATATCGAAGGTTTCATTGAATGTGATGACTGGGTACCAGTCGTCCTTGATGGTGATACAAGTAGCTTCTCCATTGGTTGGTTTGATCCAGTCGTCTTCAAAGTCTAGCTTCACGGCCTGTGACTTCTGAGAATAGCTATGCAAAAGAATGACGGTTTCATTATGTAGGGAACTAGACATTGCTAACGGCGACACCGTTCGTTCCACTCCATCATACTGGCTGGTAGTTCTGATAAAGGAGTAGTCTGGCGTGAATTTGTACCAGAACTTGAAGACGTCGATGACACGTTTAGGTCGTCCTCGGTTAGTGAAAAGTTGCGAGTTGGGAAAAGGATATTCATTATTGGCTAAAAGAAACACCACTGTTCTGTCAATGTATTCCCTAAGACCTAGCTGGGTAAATCGGTGGGCATTGGAGTGGTATATTGTTGCAAAATCTACTATTGCTGATGGAGCAGTTGGGCTGATTCCTTTCACGATGTCGCGACCATACTCACTGATAACAAGGGGGACAATCTTCCCTGTCTTCAGAGAGGCATAATTTTCAACCAGGTCGACAAATGCTACTAACCTTGCTTCATTCATCCCAGTGAAATTGTGAGATTTTCCCGAGACTATAAGTGAGTTGTACGAATGAAAGGAAAACACATCTAAATAGTCTAAAGTGAGGTCCATGAAATTTGCCACTGTTTTCCAGTCGGTAAAGTTGTTTCTGTCCGAATTTCTGGCGAAACCATCAAGTGTGGGACCAGTAACTTTGATGTTAAATCTTGCATGGAGTTTCTCCGCAACTGATTTGTGGAACGTGGCAACTGTTGTGAAATTCAAGATGTTAAATTTGGTGTCCGGTTCATTCATGGGTTCAATGTAGGGTGGGATCTGTCCTTTGGTGAAATCATAAACTCCTTGCACCATCAACATCATGAACTCTGCAGCAGCATCGACGTTGTTGGGGAATTGACCTGCATGTTCGGACTGGTTCATCCAACTCGGGTAAAACAAACCTGTAAATAGCATGTGAAAAAACACGTTCGTAAATGAACACAAAAGAAACGGTTTTCAATACTTGAAGCCTCAAATGTATGGCCTAATTAAGAATGATATATCATTGCCAAAGTCATCATCACATCTTGATTTGTTCTTCTGATTCATGTGTTTCAGTTTTATTATGCTTAGTACTGTCCAATAGAAATAGATTGTTCTCTTCAGAATTTTTATTATCAAGAAGCATAACATACCACATGCCTCTCGACCTTCTTGTCTCATAGTGTCTCCTGTTTTGTAAAGCACTTCATTTAGGCCAAAAATGGTATAAATCATTGGAGCGTGATGTGTATTTTGAAAGTTCGCATCATCAGATAATTCCTTTCTACAAGTCACTATGTTACTATTGTATGTTATAATACGACCTTTTCTGCAATATCCTTACTTAAGAAAATCAAAAATAACATTACAGCCATATAGCGATTATAAGTGAGTGAGTGGTTTTACGCCGCTTTTGGCAATGTTCCAGGGAAATCACGGCGGAGAACACCAGAAATGGGCTTCACACATTGTACCCATGTGGGGAATCGAACCCGGCTCTTCGGCGTGACGAGCGAACGCTTCAACCACTGGGCTACCCCACCGCCCCTCGTGACTATCAAATGTTATGCATAATATATACATTTAAACAATAAAAGCCTCTCAACAAAGGACAGTAAAATAACTAGAACATCACAGATTTAAGTTTTAAACTAGCATACAACCATAAAAAGATAAAACTATATATAACAATATAATATAAAAACGGCCCATAGATCGCCAGCAACGAAAGGTATTTCACCATAATAGGGACAATGGGGACTTACAGTACCTTTAATACCTGTATGGACCCCAGCAGGATTTACATCATCCCTGTTGGCGATTATTGATCAATTTAGCCAAACATTAAGACAACACATGTGACAGAAATAAAACTACTTTGATAGGGGTGGTCTTACATACCCTCGCAGGGGGACAATACGTTTACACTACTTCAACCTCCTTCGAGGACACAGCCACTAAGAATCTCAGTTATTAAATTATAAAAAATAGTCCTTGATTATATCCAAAACATGTCAATCAAAATGTCTTGACCAATTCTATTTCTTTAAAAAACACACCAAGAATTAAATGAGAACTGATATAATTGTTAAAAATATCATTTAGGGATGAAACTTTTAGTTGTCCCTTGTGATGGAAAATAAACATAAATAAACAATATATTGCCCGCTCAATAAGGAAGATATTCATTTGATGTTGTGAAACAAACATCAAATGAAACCGTTATGTACAACATTGTATCCTGGTATATTTGATAACACTTGTTTGCGTATTGGACTATTTCGATATATTATGGTATTTTTCCCTTTTTGGCTTTGTGCATTAATACTGTCTTACCTCTCGACATCATGATCATGTCGTTCTCATAACCACTGTTAATGTTAGCAAGGTACAAGGAAAACAGTTCCTTCTGCTTGGTGGCATTCTTCAAGTAGCTGGGATCTGGGTAGCCGCTACGGTTTGGATCCTCAGGCCACTGAATTGAATATTTATTTTATCAAGTAAACATTCAGTTAGGAGAAGAACATGATGTGTCTTAAGGAGTTATTAAATATTCATACCTAGAAAATACAATCGCAGCCTATTTCTAAGTATGTTCAAACTGCTGTGAGGCTTTGGTGACGTCTCTGCGGAATGGTATGGCGTCATACGCTTCCATGACGACTTTCACGCAGCTAAATCTGAAAAGCAGTTTTTCTGACAAGTATTAGTCACGCCCATTAAATAACGAATTATAGTTCCCATGTCCAATGTCATGTTTCCAAATTTGGATTATGATACCTATGAACTGAAGTAACCATACGCAATGAAATGTTCCTTAGTACATGTAGTTCAAATCACATTTAACAGCGTGTTTCAACCAATCATAATGCGGCACATGCCCCCATTTGTTTTGCAATGTATGTTAACATAAATATCATGTCGGCAGAATACCTAAAATCACACGATGTCACACTTCTTCTTATGTTCAGTGGTTGTGAAGAGACTGAAGGTTTTTTTACATGCAATAACGCCCCGTGGATAAACAATTACTGATAACATTACTGACAGGACTTAAAACAATTACCATTTACACTGTATTCTGATTTGTTTGGCTGTATAAAGTTATATATAATATTCCACTTAGTGACATTTTGTAAACATTTGTCAGTGCATATTAACAAAAACATTTATGTCAACCTGAACAGCAGCGAAAATATGGCGTCAAGATTTATTTAGTCATTCTTATTTTCAGTTGTATTGACATTATATTTTCATTTCTGCTGTTGCATGTGGGCTATTGTTTGAAAGTAATTTGCTGTCAGTTCAGTAGCTAGGTTTAGTATCACGTGCCTGCACAGCAGAAATATATTTTTGCAACACGATATTTTAAGAAATATTGAAGTTCTTCCTGCTGTTTAGATCTCATTTGAAATGAACATATTATAAATAATAAAGTATAATCGTCACTGAACTTTCAATGTTAAGGTCCAATATCTCTATATACAAATTGAATGTATTATCAAGTAAGTAGTATCTGGTATTATGTATGAGGTGATCTTACATCTTCGAAGAGACGATAACTAAAGCCATTGTTATTCCAGCGCCCAGCGTCAGTCCGAAGGTTCCGACATTCGGGAATAAGGGACTCCTGATCAAGGCTATTGTGCTTGTTCCACCTGTTACTGTCATAGCGAGCACTACCTCCCTGTGCCAACCATTGAGAGTGGATCGTCACCGTCGTGTCGCTGTACACACCGCCTATTGACAGGCTCAAAGTGAAATAGGCCAGCATCCATTTCATTTTCTGTGAATTGTAAAGTTCACTGGATTGTGACCTTGGCGTAGTGTCGAAGACTATATATCGCCTTCTTCCCGAGGCAAAGGAGTTAACTGACTATAAAAGTCCAGTTTCCACCCTTTCCGAACTAGGCTGGTATTATGGAGTTACGTTTTGTCTGGACTAACGAGTCTATGAATAGTCTAATCAAAATCGCGCACCGAAATCAAAATCCGGTTCGTAAACTGTCGTGCAGATTTCGATCGATTGCAGGGTTTGCAAAGCATGTGCATCGCCAATTCGTTGTCAGCAGATATTTTCCAAATCCTTTCATGTTTTTAATCAAGGTGCTCACGTGATTTGATGCATTTCGCGATGACCCGTTTTATCACAATATAGATCTTGATTTTCGATCAGATCGTCTTGACTGGGCGCCACAATTTTGTGTGAAGCAAACGCAAGTGATACGAGAGGTGGAATCTGATTGGTCCATAGGAGAGGCTTAGAAGGGACATAATTGGTAATAGCCACTTGGGGCGCAACGATCGAGCCCAGTAATTCCAGCCTAGTTCGGCAAGGGTGGAAACTGGACTTTTAAAGTCAGTTAACTCCCTTGCCTCAGGAAGATGATATATCGTTAACTTGGACATGGACTAAACGATGCGAGATCGATACTTCTCCATTATTTTCATTATCACCATCATTATTATCATCATCAATCCTTTACGGATCTGACTATTGATATAAGGCCAACAGGCAGCATATGCATACAGTTGTTCAAAAAGTAATGTATTTTCGCAAATACAACATGTAAAACAGTGGACGTAATGGACAGAGACGTAATGATATGAACGTTTTTTTATGGATAACAACTTCTCTATTATTTGTTACAACGTTTCGGGGCTACATTCTGTCACCTTATCAGGTGAATATTGAGTATTTGTATGTGAGTTATTATATATACCTTCTGATATGTGCATTTATGTGCATTTATGGTAGGATTAATGTACAAAGGTAATATATACGCAGTCACAGTGCACCTGAAGTAGTCCTGAAACGTGTTATAGTGAATTCTTAGTTATTTCAGACACAAAAAGGTTCATATCTTTCTGTTCTTCAAACTTCTAAATGCCTTTTGAAAACCAACATAGACGTAGATTATCAGCAGGTTTCTTGGTTCCATGAGCAGGAGTTGTAACCCACAATGGTCGACACACAAGCTACCAGGCTTTACGACTTGGAAGCCTTGTAAACGTAAAAAAAAGGAATCTCTTGAAAACTGCAGATGCGTTTCTTTTTAATAGGAGCTCATACATGGAGATAAAGCAAGTCTGACTGGGACAACTGCGTTGTCTTGAGGAACGAACGTGGCAATCTCTGGCATTCTTTTTGTCAGATCACATACGATGAGCAGATATCATAGCAATGTATGTAACTGCATGGCTCATTTCAAAAATAAACAGTTCGTCTTACAATCCGACCTATCCTGGTAAATTGAGTCAAAATTAGAAAATTGATAGGTAATTAGCATTTTGGAATGACAACACTTAGAATGATTTGGGGGCCCAAAACCAGAACCATTTTCTTCTTTTTATACACGTGAGCTGCTTTGAACGCACGATTCGTCAAAGGTCACGTTCCGGGTGGGTCATGAATTAGTTTCCAACCATTATCTTAACTTTCTATCTGTGCAATTTCTAAATAAGGGATACACTTACGCAATTTTCGATCTTTTGGGGAAGCATGTTCTTTACAATGTAACACTATTAACAAGTAATGATACCTTGTGTAAAAGCAGCTCATTCATTCCTCTGGCCACTACAATCAATATACCCATTTGTAAATACTCATCAATGCATATTAGAATGGACATATACCGTCAGCCATAATAGCAGCCATAATGTGGCGTCGAGTTTGGTATATTCTCTATCTTTGTCAATGGTAAAGATGCTGAAATGTTGAAATTAATTACGAACATTACAAAATTCGATATATTCATATTTTAAAGATTTGCTTTTATTTTTGTTGTAACATGCTTGGCAATATTCGACATGTTTTTGGCACTTCGACATTTCTCTCAGTTCATTAGACATCTAATCATGAAATAACATGTGTCTTAAGTACTTCAAATATATTTTTTGTAGGCATTCTAAGACAAAAATGGAATTGTTTTTTTTCTTGATATTGATGAATATGATTTTAATCGAAATAGCAAAGGGTCACCAAGTTCGTGAAATGGTTGCATAAAATAATTATATACTATTACATTATCAGCGTTTGACTTTTCAATGTGATGATGTCACATATGTTGTTATTCATCAGTTGATCTCACGTCATTATATTCTTCACAATCTGTTATTCCAGCGCCCACTATTAGTGGATGTTGAGGGATGTTCGATCCAGGCAATTGTGCTTGTTCCACCTTTTACTGTCTTAGTGAGCACTACCTCCCTGTGACAACCATCGGGGTGGATCGTTACGGTGGTGTCACTGTATACACCGCCCACTGTCAGGGACAAAGTGTAAAAGACCTGTGTATACGGTGACCTGGTTTCGTTTCACTGACGAAACTTATTTAACATCAACTATAAAACGGACTTTCAACATTGTCATTTATGGTTTAATATGATTCTAACAGTTACACTTGTCCATATCAATTCCATGTTATAATCCCCAATCACGAAGTGGTGTGGGGGATATAGGAACGGAGTTCGTCCGTCCGTCCGTCCGTCTGTCCTTCCGTCCGCTTCATAAAGGGGACAAATTTTCTCAAAAACTTTTTAAGTTAGAGAAATTAAATCATACACACTGATATTACCGGTCATGATCTTAAATGAGTTCGGAAATTGGTGTCTTTAATTAATTTATACAGAGTTATGGCCCTTGCTAGTCTTCTCAGGAACTACGGGCGTTACATGAATGAAATGCAAGCAAGGTACTTGTCAAGACTGAGTTCGAAAATTGGTTACGTAAACAATTATTTCCAGGGTTAATTGCATCATGTTTTTTTAGATATGGAGCATGCAGAGTTACGGCCCTTGATCACTGATATTTTACAAATTGCCTTTTGACATAAAACGACCCCGGTGCCTTTAACTTCTTAAGGCTTTATAGGACTTTATTTTCTCTACTATATGAACAAACAAAATTCCCATCGTGATAGCGATAACGCTGTTTTCCTGTTGTGTTTTCACTGAGCTGTTTTTATATATTCTTTAATCAGTATATCAGTATATCCTTTGTATTTATATGTAAACATTTAACCCAATCGATTCGGAAAATATAATAACTTTGACTGTCTAACAGCACTATTTAAATGAAGAAAATACACGAACTTTCTATTCTGTTTCCTCGTTTACATATTACTTGACACGTGTGTTTAAATCTGTAAACCGGAGCACGGAGCTGTCAATGAAATCCGACTACAGTAATCAATATCTTCAAGAAAATGTACTGGTATGTAGTTTCAGATACTGTGATGAAGTGAACCAGCCTTCCAAAATCGTATTTGTTCAAATGTTTGACATCAAATATGTGAGACAGGATCCTGAAGTGCTACGAGTCTCATTAAACCATTGCCCGACAATACTAATTCTGTGTTCCAAACCTCGACGGTCATCTCTCGTTTGACAAGCTTGTAAAGGGATGAAAACCACATAAACATGTTTATGATCATAAGACAACTCTGCTAAAAGCAGAGTCGATTGTATGATTTCGACTGTATCATTAGCATGTGTTTATGAATATATATATATATAAATAAGAAACAGATGAGGCAGTTTCACGCCTTCCAGTAAAGCCAATAATGTTTAGCATACATCATTCAGTCTGACATCTGACATGAATATAACACACATACTCACCAGACGGCTCAGGTTCAACTGGTCATTACTAAACCTTCCGACAAGATTATCAACAACTCTTATCAACAACTTAGTGACGTCAAGTTTACATATTACTCTTTGCCATTATGGGCGTCGATTTAACGGGATAAAGCACACCGGATGTTGTCCATGTGTACTGGTTATGTCCTTAACTCTGACGAGATGGTATGTTCTGGGTCCTTGCAGGTGATTTTTTCTTGATCCGCTAAACCTTGTCTGTAATATGGTTAGTCTGTCTGCACTGTTTCACATAAATAAAAAGCTACAAAACCATTCAATAAGAAAGCTCTGCATAAAGCAGAGTCGATTGTACGATTCCGACTATATCATTAGCATGTGTTCATTAAACTCTATCAAGTAGTGATGATACCAGGTGTTCGCAAAAACGTACGCGTGTCCTGCCCGACGATGGCAGCTGTCACAATCAGGCGATTCTGTTGACACTTACACTCTGCACTGACAAGACATCCTAGTTATTGCCTCTGGCTACAACTTAAAAATTTCCCATTTCAAGATTTCTCGTGAACTCGAATATTACCACAGACCCTTAATCAATTTGTCTTACTATGTCGCTGCACTACTGTGAACTTTGTCAACTTTTAAACTATATATTGGTATGTTGAAGTGGAATGTATGTATGTACTCGAAGTGGAAAATATTCGTTTTCACGAGTAAATTCCTTTCCTAAAATGGCCATGTCTGGAGGCCGTGTCAAGGAGAATGATAAGGTGTCATGTCACGGAGTATGTCATGAACAACAGGCCGCCATCTTGACCTTTTATTTAACGGAAGGCGTTTTCTCAGCTCTTTTCTCAGCATATTACAACCGTACAAGTACAATCTACTCAACACGTATGCATGGGGAATGTTTATACTTGTTAAAACAAACATGGATCTATGAATTGTTCCAAAAAAACATATTGTGAAGTGAAACAAAGTACTCTCATTAAACCTAGGGCCTTCCCGCTGAAAGAAATATAAATCGATAGATGCATCAAGTTGTCTAAACATACTTATCTTTTGAACAGTACAGCATACATTTTCATTAGAGATTGTGTAGGGAGACTTCAAACAATCCATAACTAATTTCTCTTGTCTACCAAAACAAAGATGCATAATGCTCAAATGCTGTTTAAAGTTTTAGAACTTTTAACGACAACGAGGGTTCCATATCCCGGGCATGTAGCCCTGAAATAGATCTAAGACAACCATGTGTGTCGTAACCAAATAACAAGCAACTATATGCGAATTGGTCACCGAAAACTAACATTTGCATTAGTCTTGTGATGGTATCAAATTTGAACGGCTCAAAAATGTAAAAAATCAAATAGAAAAGATTGGGACATCCCAGCTTATCCCGTTACGTTGTAAAAAGTAGGTGGAGATATATTGGTGGTCACTTGCCCTGGAAGCGAATGGGTGAGAACAGGAAAGGATGTTATTCGTGTTTCTGAGATATTACCTGCTCCTCATCAACCGCGATACACAATGTGCAATTGTATCTAATGTATCATTTATTTAGGGAACACTCGCACAGATATTACAACTGAGGAAAGGGAACGACAATTTAATATTAGGGGGAGGGGGTGTAATTTTTTCAGCTTCAGCTACAAACCATAACGGACGGTGCTGTGAGGTGAGGTGGCACAAGTTTGGATGTGATAAGGTGAGTGAGTGAGTCGGGGTTAACGCCGCTTTTAACAGTTTTATTGCGGCGTGTCAGCTTAATTTGGGAGGAAAGCCCGAAATGATGCAGTTCTCAGAACTTTACCATTTCGGTGAAACCCACGAGCATGGGTATGGTGCTGACAAACCTAGAAACATAATCGAGGCGAACCGGGATTCGAACTCACAATCAAAGGTTTCTGGTGGGCCACCCGTGCCCCGGATGTGATAAGGACAACTCGATGTTGGAGAAGTAAACTCGGACCAGGTTATATGATGTTGTAGCTTACAAATAGGTAGGAACACCAAACCTCCAAACTTCCAATCGGTGTCGTCGCAAAACTTGTCAACTCAAAAAGCTTATAGAAAGATGATGTGGAAGATGATAGATTGTTTGTTAGATTGGTTGACTTGCTAATCACAGTATTTCATTGAGTTAACAGAAATCATAATCATGTTCTAATTTTACATTAGACAGAGAAGAACGACTTTGTAATCAATCCAGTGACTATTTAAAAAGTTTAAAGTGAAAACTACCAAAAGCAGTTACAAAACAACCTATCGGAAACTTACACACAGATGGGTATATAGAACGAATTGATCAGGCCTGTATTAAATTAACAACAGCAATTTGAAATCATTATGTTGTATAACATTTGTTTAGCTGATGCATCACGAAATGGTGTAGCGTTTTATATACTGAACCGCAAAAGAAACGTCAACCCAAGTAACATTGCATGAAAAATTGTAATTTAATATTTGGGTAATTTTTATCAAAATTTCTAAGATTTAACATTACCTTGTCCGGAAAATAATAATTTGATGATAAAAAGACAAAGCAGATGACAATAAACCCGATCGCCCAAACGTATTACGGCAAAGGCCATGGTAACCCGATGCACGTGAGTTCCGTGCAAATTGAAATGCACATGCGTTCCCCAATTTCTCGCCCTATAATAGATCGGATAACATTCATTCGTTATTGAATTGCTACCACATGCCAAGATAGACAAGAAACCAGCGACACCAAGTTCTTGGACGATTGAAATCGCCCGCCAAGTAGCCAATGCATTTCAAGTCCACGTGAGGACCATATACAGGCCACCAACACTACAGATGACCGACCACGTAGTGGAAGACCAAGTCCCGATTTAAATCCCACTGAAAGCATGTTGGACGAGACGGCTGAATGACGTCCGACCAAGGCCAACAACTGCAGCTGAACTGCGTCAGGCGTTCCTCAGAGTGTGGGCTCAAGTGCCTATGGCCCACATCAACCGCCTCATCCATTCCATGTATCGACGTTGCACGGCAGTCATCAATGCACATGGCGAACACACGAGATACTGACTAGCGTTGTGTTTAAGAACATTTGACACTTTAATTTCAACCTTGATGATCAGTTTTTTCAAGTTTCATCTTTTTAATATGTCTCAAAGGATGTTTACAGTATTTGGACAAATAAGGTTTCTCATATATCTATCCATGGTGACGTTTCTTTTGCAGTTCAGTATATAACCAGTATGCTAACAGAATGGATGCAACGGTGATCGTCCCATGTCTTTCCTTAGTACTAAACAAACCTCATCAAGGTTGATTAGAATTTCCCGAAAGCATGTTCCTTGTCATAAGGAAATACCCTTATTACTTCCTATCAATATCCAGTTCTAAAAGTTTTAAAAGCATCAGCACCGAAACGTAACTTGAATCTCCATGCTCCGCGTCATGCACGAGGTTACTAAGGCGCTAAGGCGAGCCCCCAGTCACCTTCCAGGAACACAATAACAAATATATGAGGAACGACAAAACAATTTATATCAATTCAATGCAAAATTATTTGTCAGTAATATTATCATTTGATGTCAGATGGGACAAGCTTGGCTGTGACAAGGGCTACCGCAGTCACATATCCTTCCGAATCTTTGTTGGAAAAGTTAACTTGGACCGTGATAGAAGTGGTGTTCAACAAGGTGGAAGGGACGAAAAACTCCCAAACATCCATGTAGTTGAAGATTTTACTGTTCTGTTTGTCTGAGTCGTACAGCTTGTAACAGGAGTAAAGAGGTTGGTGGTTAAAGGTAACAGATGACAGAATGTTTGTTTCATTGATGGGAAGACTCGCAGAAACTCGCAGTCTTGCGCTGTCGAATTCATCTTTTGGAAGAGCTATGGTTGTCACAGCGATGCCGTCCTTGATGGGTATAACCATACCAGCTCCGTAGTATGTTGTTTCATTGAAAGTGTCTCTTGGCAACTGGTTTGAGGGAATCTTGAATGTATAGCGACATGTTGCTTCAGGTGGAAGTTCAACCATTCCTCCAGTATTACCGATGTCAAAGGGTTCGTTGAAGGTGATAATTGGATACCAGTTGTCCTTGATGGTGATACAAGTAGCTTCTCCTGTGATTGGTGTTATCCAGTCGTCTTGAAAAATTAATTTGACCATCTGTGATTGTTGAGAATAGCTGTGTAAGAGAATGACCGTTTCATTACGTACAGAACTTGACATTGATAGCGGCGATACCGTTCGTTCCTGACCATCACATTTGCTGGCAGTTCTGATGAAGGAGTACTCTGACGTGAAATTGTACCAAAATTTGAATACATCTGCATTCCTTGAGGCGTTTCCTTGGCGGGTGAAAAGTGACCAGTTGGAACCATTATTTCCAGGATCTTGTTCACTGCTTAAAAGAAACACCACCGATCTGTCAATGTATTCTCTGAGACCAAGTTGGGTGAACCTATGGGCATTAGACTGGTATATTGTTGAAAAGTCAACTATCCCAGATAGAGCAGTTTTACTAATTCCTGCCACTCCCCCGCGACCATATTCACTGATAATGAGTGGGATTTTTTCCCCCTTCTTTTGATGAACATAGTTTTCAATCAGGTCAACAAATGCTACCAGGCGTGCTTCATTTATACCAGTAAATCGGTGAGATTTCCCTGAAACAATAAGTGCGTTGTACGAATGAAAGGAAAACACGTCTAAATAGTCTAAAGTGATGTCCATGAACTCTACCAGTTTTGTCCAGAACGAAAAGTCGTTCCTGTCTACCACTGTGTTATATCCTGTCATTGTCGGGCCAACCACTTTGATGTTAAACCTGGAATGGAGTTTCTCGGCAACTGTTTTGTGGAAAATGGCGACAGTGGTGGTGAAATTCATTATATCCTCTTTAACATCTGGTTCGTTGACGACCTCGAAGTATGGCGGAATCCGACCTTGAGTGTAGTCAAAGACTCCTTGCACCAGCAACAATATGAACTCTGAAGCAGCATCGATGTTGTTGGGGAATTGACCCTTATGATCGGACGTATTCATCCAGTTTGGCCAGTGAAGACCTTAAATCAATAATACAACATAAAACTGATTGATAAATACATATGCCGTTTCTATAAGAGCTTACGCATGTATGTCCGTTTTAAAGACTGCCACTGTTTCCTTGACGATACAGGACGTCAAGCTGGCGATAATATATGGGTATTAAGTAGTTGCTGTGCTGTGTAATTGCTGTGTAATCAACCAAATAAGACAAAGGCCGCCTGTTCTTGTATTTCCTTATTACAATCAATGAAGGACTATCTTTATATTCACAGAAAGTATTTAAGACAATTTGAATAATATTATGTTGAATGTTATAATTTCATGTTCAACTTTGTACACCACTATCCCACATGACAGACTGAAGGTAAAACTCATTCCTTGATCCATGGGACTTTGTTTTAAATAACGTGTTGACCACAGATATAGTTACATGTCTATTTTCAGAGGTTCAGGTCAATTTGTCAAAATGGAAGCAAATGACATCTGAAGTTTACTGCAAAAACATTATCTGAAATGCTAGACATCCTTATTGATAATATCTATTTAACATTTTGGGAAAAAACATTCAGGCAAGAAGTAGGCATCCCCATAGTCACCGATTCCGCTCCCCTCCTTGCTGATCTGTTTCTTTATTCATATGAATCAGAATTTCTGCTCGGACTGGCAAAGTCAAACCAAGTTAATTTGGCCAGGAACTTTAACATAAACTTCAGGTATATAGATGATCTGATATCGTTCAATAACGGTCAAATTGCCAATTCCCTTACACCTATACTAGAAATGTAGGCGACCAGTGAGACCGCCTCATCTGTTTCATATTTGGATCTACACAAAAAGATTCTGAGTGAAAAAAAACACTCTCAACAAGACTGTATGACAAGAGGGATGACTTCAACTTTTCAAAAGTCAACATATCCTTTATTCCACAATTTTTGAGGTGCAATCTAGCATACTCTTTCTACCAAGATTTCAAAGAGAACTATACAACTCTTGCCCAGAGGTTGTTTGATCAAGGTTACAACATTCAAGGCCTCTGTAAAACTTTAAAGGGTTTTATGGAAGGCAGACATGTCGAGGACATTTCAAAATTTGACAAAAATCAGTGATAAAAATTATGTCTGATGCAATGCTCTATTTGGACTTCTACCCTATGTTCACGTGTTTTCAGATGAACAATTGACTTGCCTTTGCAAGTGTTTGTGACGGATGCCACCGGTGGAGCAGAATATGTTAACCTCTTCGCGAACACCTTGTATTATCACTATTTGATACTGATTCACAAACATATGGTCATGATATACTAGTAGTCGGAAACGTACAATCGACTCTGTTTTTAGCAGATATTGCTTATGAATATGGAGAGGGTTTTGCCACGTTTTATTTATAAGTCCATTAATCTCACACCTATCGTTGGTAACTACACGTAAAGTACGTCCAGGCGATTTTGGGTTATTTTCTACCATCTGCACATCATTTGCTTCTCTCGTTCACAGAGGTCATAACATAAGAAGGCAATATAAAATGCGATCTTGACGTCCATGCATGATGTGTGATAGAGCAACTGCCATATATAGGTGCAATATCTATCGAACGCCTGACTTCGTTATTGCAGTGATTCGTGAGTGCATCTAATCTTCGAATTTGTCTATTACAAATTGTTCGGACTTTCTGCGGCTATTACTATTGTGACGGGAAAGAAATATGAATCCCTCTACGTCCGTTTTAATAATATTACCAATCAAATAACAGCATTTGTTTCTGAATACTCTTACCTTTCATCATCATGATCATTTCATTCTTATAACCACTGTCAATGTTAGCAAGGTAATCGGAGAACCATTCCTGTTGCACGCTGACGTTCTTCAGGTAGTTGGGGTCGGGGTAGCCACTTCGGTGTGCGTCTTCTGGCCACTACAATCAATATGCTTATTAGGCAAGGAGAATGTTATTCCAAACAGTGCTACTTTGTGAATATTCGTCAATGCATATTAGCTTAATCATTTACTTTCAGTCTAAACATGGGTCAGGGTACCCTCTGGCCAATGTATAACTTATATATGAAAATTTGGGTTTAGTATAATTAATCGCATATTAATGACAATTCACTGTTGTGCAATGTTTCCCAGTAATATAATACTATACTTGTATCATGCATAAAAGGAAAAGGTTAATTCAATAATTGTCCAGTCATTTGTTACCTGTTCACTGGCAAGTGTACAAGTCCATATTAGTCTTAAGTAATTACTTCATTTGTATGAGTGGATACGACCATGGGACATCTAGCAACAATTGTCTATCCCAATTAAAGAAAGACAAAGACTCTAAAACATAGTGTTTATTTCTTAGCAGGAGAATCGGCCTCAAAACATTCATCCCACCACATTCATACATTTATCGTATGCTACATCACTGTAGCTCTATAAATGTAAACTAATGTCTGTTTGCAATATTCATGACATTACTGTCAAAACGAACCCTCGAAGCCATACATAACAAGACAGGATGAGCAAATGAATGACACAGAAATGCTTCATGTTTTCTGTCTCAACTGCCGGGCAAAAGACCCTTATCACCTTGTACCGCAGCTCCATAAAAAGAAACAAAAAAGGTGTTATCGATATGATGATTATTTTAATGAAAGGAATAATTTTTTATGTCTGTACACATTGCAATGCTATATCGATAGTGCACTTGCCAAAAGTCCGAGCGAAAGAGACACGGGATCAAAAGAAAAGACGAATCCACTCAAAAGGTGCTCATAAAGTCAAATCATGTGACAAGACATGTCCCTAGTAGCGTGTGTGACCATCCCCTGCATCAATGCGCGCCAAAATAGTCTCCTCGTGGATGTCGTTAGTCGCCGGATGACGTCATTAGGAATTCTGCGCTACTCGTCCAATAAAACCTGTTCAAGCTGCTGTCTGTTTGCTGGGGGAGATACGCGTTGTCTCATCTGTCGATCACGATGATCCCAGAGATCCTCTATGGGATTCATGTCTGGAGAACATGCTGGCCAAGGCAATACGTTGACGTTAACGTTGTGCAGATATTGCTGAACACGTCTGGCGGTATGAGATCGTGCATTATCCTGCGGCAAAAGAGTACCCCTTGCCCGTCCACGTAATTGGCACTAGAGCAGATCGAACGCCTCATCTCTGTATCTTTGGCAATTAAGATTCCCACGGATGATGACAAGCCTTGTTGTCCTCTGACCGCAAATACTGCCCGATACCATAACGCTGCCTCCACCATACGGCTGCTCATCTTGGATGCAGTAAGATGCCAGTCGCTCGCCCCTACGACGATAAACACGGACTCGGCCATCATTTCTGATCAAGTAAAAGCGACTTTCATCTGGGAACAGCACCCTTTCCAAATCACGCCGCTGCCACCGACGTACAGTTCTTGCCCATTGTAATGCGTTGACGTAGAAGATGGATCAATGCCGTTCCATGGAAGGGGCGGTAGGCTCTGATACCACCAATGCGGAGTCATCGTAAGGGTGTTCATCTGCTGATGGGGTGTCCCATTGGCGTCGCTGCCGTTGACGTCGCTGTCACGTATCGGATGTAGCGGTCTTCAACTGGTGTTGTGACTCTTTGTGTCTGGCCTATTTGCTGATACAGGCTCAACTAGTTGCTGATACTGGTTTGACTGCAGTTAAAGGTTCTTGCAAACTGCCGTTGAGAGGCCCCTATATCGGCTATACCAACAGCTCTGTCACGTTCCTCTTGTGTGAGTATCGGCATTTCTCTGCTGTTCTTTTTGATGCTGCATCCTTCCTCTACCCCACACCGGTATTTATGCAACAATTATGCACGAACACTTTTTACAGTTCCCCAAAATACTGTTTCCGATTTATCATGACTGCACTACACTCACTAAAACGTGACTTCCATTGTGCACATGGTGTGTGTTGGTGAATGTTTTCTGATAACATTCTAACTTATCGCACTTATCGCCTTTAATTCAGTGATACGTTTCTTTAGCCCGGCATTTTACAATGTGACTTATTACGATAATATAATGGATCAAATTAGAAAGAAAATCTCACCACTCGGAAGAGAGTAAAATCTTCGTGTATCCAGCGGCCGCTGTCAGTCCGAAGGCGGCGACAGTTTGCAATACGGGACTCCTTTTCCAGGCCATTGTGCTTGTTCCATCTGTCACTCTCATAGCGCACACTACCCCCCTGTGCCAGCCACTGAGGATAGACCGTCACAGTCGTGTCACTATATACACCACCTATTACCAGGCTCAGGGTGAGAAAGACCAGTGTCAATTTCATTGTCACCGAAATGTAATGTGTCATCACAAAGACATGAACAGCTTTTATGCTTAGAATTCGTCGGAATTATCAGTGACCCAATTTTGCCGTTCTATAAATCCTTGTACATGATAAGAACATGCGTAGGCATGTTGATGTGGTGAAAGGATAGCCTTGAGGTTTGTGCATGTCAGCATTGCTCAGCGGATACTACGTCTTTATCTTCTGTAAAAAAAATACAATTTAAAGTGACTCCTTATCATTATGTTTGACAGCTCAGTAACTTGGTTAACTGCATTTCATCGTCCCTCGACGACTTGTTTCGTTGTTCACAATGTTAATCATTTTAATATCTTGCCCAGGCTCGATTATTTGCAGGCAGACTGAATACTGGAATAAACGATACGCCACAGTCTCCCATTAAGTACACACTGTTGTACATTTCCAGTAACTGTTTGTTATGGTATTAATAGTGTGTTCACGTCACAGAGCAGAGACTTTCACACAAGGTTGGGCCTATCTATGATCCTGCGATATAGTGTACAGTTTTTGGAAATGTACATAAAACCAATATACATAGTCGACTACTTGATGTCCAACTTATACTTTGTACATGCATAAAGTCAGGGTTTACCATGATATCAGAGAAGTATTGGAGTTAAGAAGAATCACTTTAAGGTCTTGCCAATTAAGAATTCATTCCCTTGCCAACTGTGCGGATGTTGTGGGGTGGTCTTTTGCTTGTTTGACGCAACAGTACACATTATTACATTTATTTAACGTCCGCCTCCTAATTCCCGATTCTTGACCAGGCGTCAGACACCGGCAACCTGGTTTGTAACCTGTAACCTCAGTCGCGGAATTTTTCGTTTGGGGGACGATTTTGCCTGTAATTTCTTTTCGTCCGTTTGACGCGATTTCCCTTTTCCAAATTAAATTTTGGTCAGCCAATTGTGATTAGGTATCCTCTCAAGTATTAAATTCTGCAAAGTTGCTATGTTTACTTTACTTGCTAAATAGTCCGTGAAGAGGTCCCCTCTTTGAAGGACTGAAGTAGGTTTCTGCTCTTGTCTCGATGGCTGAAGACGTGCCTGTTTAGGCCTCAACCAAGGGGTATCTGAACATGCTTGTCAAATGGGCCAAAATACTGGCCCGCTGTCTGTTTTGCTTTTTTCTACTTTACCACAATATTAGAATAGTGAAGGTTGGACGAGGTGTTTAACAGACAACCTATGCTGGTGTTGCACAAAACATTTTTCTTTGAAGTAAAATTTTGTTTCCATGACAACCCAATGGAAAAAATTCATCTATCCCATTGGTCACCAATGTGTTCAGATAATTACATGAATATATAGCTAGTGTGTGATGGGGCCGGTCTTTGATATGATGTTCCAATCAAGCACCTGCCTTGACTTCTTTTGCCCATGACAGCTTTGTCGCTTTGGTGACACAAACAATTGTATTTGCTGTAAATGTGAACAGGTAGGAACAACCAGAAGATGTTCAGCAACATCCATGCACATGTTGTAGCTTGAGTACGTAACAGACAGACGTCATTGTTGGCTATAAGATAAGAATATGCTAAATATACGTAAAATGTTTTTCCCATGTGATATGTTTGATGCATGTGACATTTGTTTAGCACACAAAAGTGATTTTACTCACAAAATAATAACCTGTCCATCATAATACCTGCATCTTTCCAAATTTGCCCACACACTAGCTGTGAGTTAGCTAATTTTATAACTAGTCATCATAGTTCTTATGATATTGTGTCTGACAAAAACATAGATAATGGTCACATGTGTAATCTATATCCTGGCTGCTTTATTTTCGTGGTTGGTGCGGTCGGGTAGCCTAGTGGTTAGAGCGTTCGTCATGCCTATAACGTGGGTTCGATTCCCGACAAGGGTACACTGTGTGAAGCCCATTTCTGGTGTCCCAAGCCGGGATATGGTGGAATATTACTAAAAGCGGCGTAAAACCAAACTCACTCACTCACCATTTTCGGGGTCAATTATCAGCTTCACGTATCCTTGAACGTAGCGACATTGTTTCTTTTATTGATTTTTGTTGCCTACATGCACGTCGAACTGAGCAACAGTCCTTCTATAGGATGGCAGCCCGTAAATTATCATGTCATACTCAAACAGGTAAGACATACAGTTCTTTGGTGTGTGTGTGTGTACATTATATGTACATTGTAGACAGTTAAACAAACATAATTACAACCGACATAGTATTCAAGCTAAGTACAACACCAGCTGTTCTTAAAAATAAATTTGCGACCTGGGAATATAACAACAATGACACATTGATGTAATTTGTTTAATACTGTCAAATTTGAGGAATTTGTCAGAAATAGTATTATTTTCATGATTTCAAATCGGTTGGGTAAGCTTGGCTGTGACAAGAGCAACTGAAGAAACATATCCTGCTGTCATGTTGTTGGAGAAGTAGACCTGTACCAGATTAGCCCCCGTGACAAACAGGGAGGTAGGGACAGCAAACTCCCAAACTTCCCAATAGGTGGTGCTGTTAAACTTGTCGGAATCATACAGCTTATAGAAACAGTCAAGGCGGTGGAGGTTAAAGGTTATATATGATACATTGTTTGTTTCATTGATCGGCCAACTGGTTGAAACTCTCAGTCTTGCACTGTGATATTGGCCATCTGGTAGAGATATTACTGTCAAGACGATATTGCCCTTGATTGGTATCAGTGTATCAGCTCCGTAGTATGTGGTTTCGTTGAGAGTGACTGAAGGCAGTTTATTTGAAGGGGTCTTGAATGTAAGGTGGCATGTTGCTTCAGGAGGAAGTTCAACCATTCCTTGGGTCTTCTGGATGTCGAAGGGTTCATTAAAGGTAATGAGTGGGTACCAGTCGTCCTTGATGGTGATACAAGTAGCTTCTCCAGTGGTTGGCTTGATCCAGCCGTCTTCAAAGTCTAACTTGACCGCCTGTGACTTCTGAGAATAGCTATGCAAGAGAATGACGGTTTCGTTATTCAGTGTACTGGACATTGCTAACGGCGACACCGTTCGTTCCTCTCCATCATACTGACTGGTAGTTCTGATAAAGGAGTAGCCTGACGTGAATTTGTACCAAAACTTGAAGACGTCGACCATACGCGTGGCGTTTCCTTGAAGAGTGAAAAGTGACCAGTTGAGACTATCATGTCCTGGATATTTTTCATTGGCTAAAAGAAACACCACTGCTCTGTCAATGTATTCCCTGAGACCTAGTTGGGTGAATCTGTGGCCATTGGCTTGGTATATTGTTGAAAAGTCAACTATACCTGATGGAGCATATTTGTCAATTCCTTCCACGGGACCGCGGCCATATTCACTAATAACAAGGGGAATAATCTTTCCAGTCTTCTGAGAGACATAGTTTTCAACCAGGTCGACAAATGCTACCAGACGTGCTTCATTCATACCACTGAAATTGTGAGAATTTCCCGAAACAGTCAGCGAGTTGTACGAATGAAAAGAAAATACATCGATATAACCCAAAGTGACGTCCAGAAAATTGGCCACTCTTCGCCAATACGAAAAGTCTTTTCTATCCGCCAGCCCAGTTTCTCCATCAAGTGTAGGACCAGAAACTTTAATATTAAATCTCGCATGGAGTTTCTCAGCAACTAATTTGTGAAATTTGGCAACAGTCGTGAAATTCAGTATACGCCCTTTACCATCCGGCTCGTTGATGGGCTCAAAGTAGTGTGGCATGTGTCCTTTTGTGTAGTCATATACTCCTTGCAGCATCAACGTCATGAACTCTGCAGCAGCATCGACATTGTTTGGGAATTGACCTTCATGTTCAGACGTGTTTATCCAACTCGGGTAATAGAGACCTGAAAAATACTATGATAACAGTTACTATGATAGATTTGTATTTAATTTTGAAAAAATAAGTGGACATGAAACGGTTTGTAAATATATGAAATATTAAACACTTCGGTAATATCAAAGAATCCCTGATGTAGAGAAGATGAGTTGTGTAGGAAAGAATGAAATACTATGGTTCACGGTTCGGAAAATTCGGAAAATTGCTTGTTTTTGTCTTTTCCCAATACCCATACGCCCCAGTCAACCAAGCGATTGACATCATGAGAATAGATCTTTTCATTTTGGATACGGTGACATGCATCAACCAAATCAGTGATCCTGACCACCCGATCTCGTTAGTTGCCTCCTTCGACAACACATATGATACTGTTTGTGGCAAGTGGGTGGGTGGGTTTACATTTCCTGACATTAATCAGTTCAGGTCAGTTTCCTATGATTAAATTCTTAGAGAAAATGAAACAAAACACGCTTTGGACAGAAGCAACCTTTTAACGACTGATTTGACTTTTTAGAAGAAAACAAACACGACATCTTATATTATCTATTTTATATTTGGAGTACTATAACACCATCAAATGTGTAAGGTCAATGATTTTTTAGCTTCATAATAAACATTTTACTATATTGGTGTAGTGTTGCTTTTAAAATTAACTTTGAGTCAAATTTTCCATTGCTTTTTGGGAGGAACACAGGAGAAATCTGCTTCCAAGACACACATGATCAAGGATGTGAATAATTTTTCATATGACGGATAGTGTTATCGATGTGATTACCATCCACATTTAGTTTGTGTTTGCACCCGAAGTCACCAGTGGGAACCTTTGATTAGCTCCACCCATCCACCCCCTTTAATAAACTATGGTCCCAAGTTCCTCCAAAATGTCGCTAAGATTATCATAAGAATGAAGTAATAAAAAGACGTTGTCACACTGTTTTCATAATGATACATTTTATTAAATCAAAACTTGAATTGTACACCTTATGACACTGCCAGCGACCTGGGAGTATTAAAGTTCAGTTCAGTTTAGTTATTATCCTTGCGTATTCCCGTATCCTTGCCACCTCATGTAATGAGTAGATTTATATATTTGTTATTTAGGACGACACTCAGTGATAACCTAGCTATATGACGACCAGACAAACTAATAATTGATATAATGAACAAAGATCCACGACGTCGAGTTATGATCGAAAGCTATGAACACACAATGTCATTTAGAAAGTGGTCAAGGGTA